AACGCACAAGATTGTCCATTAGTAGACACAATGTTTTAAAATATTGTAAAATGAAAATTGTTCCTTAGTTTTAAAGCAAAAGCTTTTTAACTACTCCATGAACTAAAAGAAGGATTTAACTTTGTTGCGCGGAATTTTTTATCTTGTGATTAAGAGAAATATGAACAGGAGATTTGTAATGCGCCTGAGAAACGAGACGAGGCCGCCTCAATCCTCGTCAAATAAGAGGCACGGGCTGGTGGCCTCGAGCTCATTAAAGAGTAATCTTCGTTCATTTTTTTCAGAAGTGTATTTCATTATTATTTCTGAATAAATAGTTCCTCTTTTATTAACATTTACGCATGAATAGATGTGATCAATATAGATATACAAAAACTTAGCAAATCCTAAAATAAATTTGAATTTAAAATAAGTTGACAGCAAGATGTAACTCATACGTATCAACAGCAACATAATATTAGTAGAACCATAAACATATATCTATTTACTAAATTTAACTCGATACGCATAGACTGCTATGACACCAATTTCGTCTTAACTATTTCTACGATTGAATTTAGATAAATTCGAGTTTAAGATATTTTTCTTGATATAATTTATTTATCAATACATTCACACAATAAGTATAGATTAAAGAAGGAGATATAAGATAGTGATAAGAAAAGGGGCTGAAATTCTACCCAAGCAGAATAATAAACTATACTATAGAAACAAAACGTCGAAGTGAACAATTTATCTAATACGTGCAACGAAAGAAATAGCAAAAGAAAATATATATATATATGTCGGGTGAACCAAAATGATTACAACATCGAGTATTTTACAAGTATCTCAACAAAGATAAATCGTATAATCTTGATTCTTTTTGTTAAAAGATGCACCATGAAATTCTCTACAAGAAAGGTAATGAGAAGTCCCACTGAGTTAGTTTAATATTTTTTTATACGGCAAAAAATTAAGTACTGTGTGATATATACCTTAAAATTGATTCTTTTTTTAATATGCATCATGAAATTCCTGCTGTTTTTACAGTAAAAGGCCCTTTGAATTGTGTTGATGAGTTGTTTTAGACAACAAAAAGTAAAGACCTTCGTGAGAACGTTCTTGCCCTTTATGAAAATAAGAAAAAGCTTTAAAAATATCTAGTAATGAGTCTTTTGGTTTGTAGCATGATGCAGTCTTTTAGATCTGCATACTTGAAATTTGTAAATATTTTCATATTTTTATTATGGACAAGAACGATCTCACGAAGGTTTTTACTTTTTTTTTTCAAAAAGCCTTTTCATGTAAAACCAGCAAGGATTCTATGATGTATAGAAGAGAAACAATTCAAGGTTTTATAATTTGCTGATAATGACATACATGCAAAGTAATAAATGCTATTTTCATTTAGAGAAATCAGATGTTTCATCATCAAGCCTCATGAAGCATCTTTTAAAAAAAGAATCAAAAGTACACGATTTGTCTATGCTTAAATATTTTCAAAGTACTTGATTTTGCAATCATTTACGTTCATCCGGTGGATGCGTAGCCCAGAACAGGTATAAAAAAATCACATTACTTTTTTTTCGTCAGGAGTACTCTCATGTCATCAACATCGCGTCACTTTCCATGATTAATCGGAATATTTGAAAAAATCGACGATTAATTGATGATTTTTCTAAAAATATTTTTACTAAGTCTATCTGATCGTCAGCTTAGATTGAACAATGAGCATTCGTATTTTACACATTTGCTTGCAGTAGTGTCAACCTACCGAAGTTTCACCAGCAATTTCTGATGCAGATTTAAAATTGACTCAGTAGTGTCAGTTTTAACAGACTTCAAAAATATTTACTTGTTTTGATACATATATCATGAAACAATGGTGAAAAAAATCTTTTCCTATAGCGCATATTATAATTGTAGTCTCCTAATATTTTTTGTCTGGTCTACAGCAAATGGGTTATCTCAGTTAGAAAAAACTTCTTTTATTTAGATCATTTGATCATTAGACAGAACAGTTGTCATTGTTCTACTTGTAAAATAGATTCTTCTATTTAGGTCATCTGATAGAGTCAACGAAAAGTAAGGAATATTTTATTTTAGTTTTTTTTCTTCTATTTAGATACTTTGATCTTCCTGACGAACAGTATGTATTACTTTGTCAGAAACAAATTTGTTTTTGTTTTTATTAGGTCATTTGATTTTCTTAATTAAAAGTAAGTATCATTTAGAAAATTCTTTTATGGCTTACTGTGAATGGCGAACATATATCATAAATTGTCATTTACAAAAAATATGCGCCAGTACTTTAGAAAACGTCATCGTAGAATAGGCGTTGGAACGTATTTGTAGATCTAAATGCTGCCCCCAGATCAGACAATCGAAAATCCTTGTAAACAATCTCCATTTTCTTTACTAGTCGACGAAAGAAATCGCCTAATCTAGCGATCTTTAATGAAAATCGCTAGATTAGGCGATTTAATCACAATATAATCTCATAATTAATTGGCCTAATAAATTGCAATAAAATCGATGATTTTCATGTGATTTTTATGACATGGGCTAAGTCAATGTTCCATTATTTATCATCTTTGGCTTAACACAAAAATAACACAAATGTTGGTGCACGAGATAAGACTTGACTGCTATTCTTTTTTTTCAAGCTTCAAGAACTCTTAACTACTTACACAGTTAAACTGTGATCGCCCGGACGCTATAGCGGAAGGGAGACGGGCGCTAAGCAGCCGAATACGCTCCTGCGTGCACGATACACATCACTGCCTTCTATATGATTTTTTATAATGCCTACGAACTTATATGGAAAGGGTGTGGGTGTAGGCTAAGAGAAGGCTCACATGCACACCCCTATCTTTTCAAAGAAAGAAACTAATATCGTTAATATACTTCAATTTCTCTCAAGTTTTTTTTACTGAAATATATAGAGATTGGACACAATTGGACCGCCTCAAATTAGAAACATGAATCTATCTAATGTAAAAAATGCCATTATTCATTGAAAGAACTTTGATTTCATCTGACATTTTGAATAATAAACATATAACATCGTTCAACAGGAAAAATGTCTCGAAAAAAAAGGTTCGTCAAGTCTTGCTACAATCATATATAAACAACTGATTGTATAACAAAAATTCATGTGAGTTGCCTATTTTACTTTTACTGAGAATTTTATTGATAATTCCTGATTCAAGAAAGAAAAATAAGACCTAAAACAATTACACAATCGTGCACTTTTGTTTTAATCGGTTTACAATATTATATTAGTCTCTAATTTTCTTATTACATGTAAAATTTCAATCCGTTGTTATTTTCCATCTCATTTTCTTTTCGTTCTCATCTTGCAATTGGTCTTTCGCATTTATATTTATCTATCGTTCATGCTATTGTTACTATATGATAAGATTCATTGAATCGTGAATTCGTAAAACCTAATTAAGCTTTAACTACAATTCAGTCAGGATACTTTACTTGTTCTCTATACACTCACAAATTCCAGTAACATGTGTTTTTACCTGATTTACAGAAATTCATTAATAACAATGGTAAACATACTGTTTGTTGTGAACAGCAAGAGTTAACAATGCATAAAGAATTATTTGATGTGCAATTATACGTAGCATTATTACATGGTTCCAAAATAGAACATAGGATACCAGGTGCACAATAACTAATATTGTTTAGTGTACGGTATTCGAAGCATGCTGCTGATGACGAGCGACAGTTGTTGTTATCATTGGAGCTTAGGTTACATTGTCGTAAAGAACAAGTTAATGCTGGTTCCCATGCTGAATGAGGCAATGAAGATAGTGAAAATTGAACATCGTAATTATTTTCATAGCAGTGGTAATTGGATACTGCTGTACTTTGACCTAAATTTTTTTTACACTATGAAAAAATTGAAGTGAGAAAGGATAAATCAGCACACCTTGCACGCACGAAAAGAAGAGTCCCAATACCAAAGCTATTATAAATTGCATAGTTTTTGTGTAATAAATGAGTGAAAGAAGTATTCAGAATGAATATTTTTTTTCTGTTCTCTCCTATACCACCGACTGAATTTGTCTTTTAACTTGAAGGGCACCAACCTGTTTTATTCCAATGTTTATTCATTCTGTAGCAATAAAAGAAGCCTGACATTTAAAAAACATTAATAAACATTTTTATGTAGTTTATTCACTGTCAAAAAACGACGAATCTTGTTGTTACTTTTTTTTCGTCTTTTGATTTAACACTTTCGATGCGATTTAATCTGATAGATGGGTGATGTGACTTACTAATGGATCACATCGCTGTGAATATGTTTAAAACTGTCTGGTGCCACCGTTCGATAACCTGCAGTGTGAAGTGCATCTCGTATAAAAATCAGTTGCTTAGATCCATGTATCGAATTTTAACAATTTTTCTCGTCAAAATTGACCGTTTTTTTTTGTGATTATTGTTACATGAATTCTTTTTCAACATATATCATCTGCTAGAAAAAAAGAATGCACTACACGGTGGAGCACTTTTCATCGAAAAAACACCTTGGAAAAGGCTTGAGTTTCAGAATGAGCGCGTGTATTAATGTAGATCTTTAGTAAACCTCGTTTTTCTCTACCATCAAAATATCGAAATTAACATTTAAAAATATTATTGGAAAGAGCGTTTAAAGCTGCACAATATAGACTAATAGATTAGTGTTTAGAAACAATATGTTACATGGAAAGCACTTTAGTCCCAAAGATTGATCGTGATAAGGCTTAGCGGTGGATCTCATCACAGCGAAAGTGTTAATGATTCATATTTATTGACTTCCTTAAACAAACCAAAAACATGACATTTTTGTTCTATCAAACTATTCTCTGCCTTCAATATAATGAGATTGATTTTTTTGACATAGCAAACGAAAAACTTCTCTGAAGTAGAATTTTTTTGACTTCTTGATTGGGTTTGGGTGTGAGAAAAGATTGAACGAAAAAACGAGGACCCATATCCATCCACACACTCAACATTAAAACATGAAAATTTTAAGTATATTGATAGAATCAATTCGATGTTTTCAAATCGGTAATGATCTTATTCAAAATAATCCAAATGAATTATTATTAGTTGATCCTATAATAAAATGTCTTTGTTCTTCAACTTATATTAATATATTAAAACAAATCGATATTAAATCAAATGATCCTAATGCATTTGAAGATTTTATACTTGGCACATGTCCATGTTATTGTGCATGAAATAGAGGAAAAGCTCAAATAATAATAAACAGATTATGTTTAAATAATATGTTAGAAACTTATCAAGAAATATATGATTTATTTTTACCAACAATAAATGATTGGGCATATGCTTTAATAGAATCAATTTACTATATGACACAATTATTACGTTATGCTGTTTTTTATTCTTCAACATAAGAATATTTAAATGTTGATTCAATGTTAATTATATTAAATTCAAATTATTTATTAGATAATATATTAATAACAACATATTATAGTTCTGAAACAAATTTAACTAATTCAGCTATTTTATTTATATTTAATTTAACACATGATTTTGAAATGTGAACAATAATTAAAGAAAATTCTTTTTTTTTTTCAAAAGAAATATTTCTTCCATTAAAAAATTCCCAAGTTGATCGAGTTAAATTACACGCTTTAATGATTTTATCTAAAATACTTAATAAAAAAGATATTCTAAATCTACGTAGATCATATTGATACACTAACATCAATTTTTATTTTTTATTTATCTAGAGCTATGAATAATTTATGTCACAGATTTCTAGATATTCCTATTGCACATTTATTAGCTACTTTAAAAGGTATATTGTTCTTCACAGGTAACATCAATAAATTAACAAATACTTTTCACTGATTTGTAAACGAAATTCATAAGTTCTTTTTTTTATTAATGCAACTATGATTCATAGGGAAGTTTCATAAAAAATAAAATAGCCGACTGAAACAAGTTATATTTTTTTTCAAAATCAACAAATTTAAAAGTAATCTTCGATGAATCTCTGTTTGTATGACTTTTGAATTCGTTTTGAAAACTTTCAAATTAGATTTATAGAGAAAACATCATACCATAAAAGAAAATTTTCCAAAACCTACTTGAATCCGACAAAATTTCAATAAATTAATCTAATAATATTAAACAGGTTATTTAATTTTAAATTAGATATGAATATGGTCGGTAAAGATGTCTAGTAGGTGTTCAAATTTCAGTATTCCTCAATTGAATCCTATCAATGTTTGCTTAATAATTATTCAATCTAATAGAATTTTATACATTTAGCATTTATCCAACATGATGAAATCAAAGAAGAAATAGTAAGACAAAATTATTTTAGTATATTAATAAAATGTTTAACTCAAAAAGATCTTCATATTAGTTTAGTTTTATAAATTTCATTAGAAATTGTTTGTTCATTAACATTTAATAAACATATTTATGATATATTAATACATAATTATGAAAATTTTTTTATTTATTTAAAAAATATTCTTATTCATTCAAAAGAAGAAGGTGTTCAAGCAGCTTCTAAAGGAATTTTATCTTAAAAAGACTATTATGGATGTACATGGTAATAACAATTGTAATAAAAATATGATATTATAATAAGTTATAGTCATTCAAATAGAGATTTATGTCATCGGATTTATCAAAATTTAATTGATTTTGAAAATCTGTACGGAAGTACACTTCAATCGATATGTTACAAGCTATTGAAGCATCCAATGTTATTTTTATTTGCATGTCAACGTCATATTATTCCATCAATTGTGGAAAAGAAGAAATATCGACTTGGTGAATGGTTAGGATTTATTTTTTTATCGACAACAAACTTTATTAATTTCGTCATCATTATAAATATTGAAATATGAAAAGAACAAACCACTTACTCATGACGATGGAACTAAACTAACAATTGAGATGTACGTAAACAATATAGAGCAGAACTCTGAAGTTGAAGAATAAGTATGAATTTTACTCTAGATCGATAATAATGTATTAAAAAATTAAGCTCACTCATATGATGGAGTTTTCAGTCTTATGTCATGATATTTGAGGAAAATAATCAATAAACAGAGGTCACAAATAGTTCATCTGACAACTCGAAATTCTCTGTGACATCTCATTCTATAGATTTAGTTCTCTTTTTTATTTGAAAGACTATATCAGACTGCAATGACTGACACAGCCCTTCTTTGTTAATTGTTACTTTTCATGCAGAGAATCATTATGCAATGCATTTGTATAGTCTTTCAAATAAAAGCACTTGGTTATAATGAAGCTCCTTCGAGAATTCTGAAATACATAATCTGAAAAACATATTAGAAAAACTTCTCAGTGCAGCATCAAAAGTATACTATGATATTTTCTATTTTTGAAAACAATATTTACACTAGTTAGGATCTTCAGTGGGAATCTTAGATTCATTGAATACTCTGGGAAATTTTAGACAATTTCAACATGATCCAAGAGAACCAAAATGTTGAATAAGAGCAAAAGAAAAAAAAAACTATAAGATACATTTTTATTGTAAACATTCAAAATTATGAAGTATTCAGAAGAAGAATACGATATCTTCGATTAAAAGACATGTACATATTTAAGAGGACCATGTTTCGAATGATGAAAACAATGATGATTGTCGATATATGAAATGATGGACACATGAAGATGTTTTAAATTTTCTACATGATAGGAATTTAGAACTTATGAAGCCTTTATTTGAAAATGAACAGTAATTCGATGGTCATTCTTTAATTACATTATATGAATATGGTGCTTATATTCATTTTCTCACTGAACTACGAAAACATTTGGATCCAATTGATATAGAATATTGTATACGTTATTTTCTTGCGATTACTTGACAAAAAAAAATACATGAATAACTCTTTTCGTATTTTAAATACTTTACCTTTTATACATAAATATAATCCATTATGTTGCACTGTATTTATCAATATTGAATAATTAGTTTGTATGATAACAGTGGTTAGTCGAACGAAGTCATAAGCGTAGTTATTTCATCCTAAATATTTCTCTAATCAAGAAACCAAAGACATTCATGCGATAATGAGATGTATATCTTATCGAGTTTTCAGATGAATGTGGTAATAAGTGTAAAAACATATTCTTTGAATTATTACTGAATCAAACAATTTCATCAATCCCATTAGTCATCTTTCTGATAGGTCTTCAATTAATCAAATGAGTAGTTCTAAAAAAAGAAAATAACATTGCTATGTGTTGATTAAGACATTATAATATGAATCTGCAGTAGAGATTTTCTAGGATAATCCTGTTTGCCTAGGTCAAAGTGATCGATCGACTCCAGTTGGTTACAATCAGATCTAGACAAATGCGGCCATCGAATTCCTACTTCCACTTTTCTACTATTTCCTCTTATTTTCTGCCTCGAAACAGCGTCTTTATGGTGAGAGACTGCCGAATTCATCGATCCGAGTGAGAAAATTATACGTGTTAGACCTGCGTGCTAATCTTGAAAGTACGATTGATATAATACAACATGAAAATAGGTTCTTGCATTTAAAAATATACTGGCAACATATATGATGATGTAAAACATGTTTGTTGATAATTAAATCAATTCAAAAAGTTTTTGCATCTGAACACGATCATTATTTTTAAGATTGTTTGATATAAAGATTTTTTGATAATTTTATGTTAATACTATCGCACAATTGCTATGAAAACATTTGGCTGATATAAAGTGTTACTTTTTCATCTTCACTAACCAAGTACAAGTAACATTCGCCGATATCACTTGGCAAACTCAATATT